TGTCTCTGTGACTGTCTGTTCTGGCAGAGGCAGATCAATCACAAACAAAGAAACAAGAAATTATCAGAGAGTGAAACTTGAAGAAAATAAAATGGAATAACCCACTCAATTCAGAGCCCGAGGGGGCATCACCACACAGGACGCCCCCAAAGCCTGGGTCCTATCTGGGCACAGCAGGAGCCAACAGAAAACACAGCAGAAACACTGTCCCTCCCACGGGGAGGGTGAGCACTTTCTGTCTCTGAAGCGCACACAGATGGAAGCTGAGCACATGATCTCAGAATTAGCCCTCCAACCGTACGACCGTGAATGACACTCGATAACAGTCTTTTAATTTTATTATTTATTTATTTTAATACAAAGCTTTGGCATTAGCAATTTTATGAAAAAATAAAATGTACTAAAAATAAATGCTTGTGTGGCATGATTGGTAAATGATGCACAAAAATAGGTTCTTTTTTCCTTCAAGGCAATCAGTCAGAAAGCAGTTTTTTCCTTCTTCAAAACCATTCTACCCTATGGAATAAAAGGAAAAAAGAGAGGTCAAGAGTTAGTCAGAGTGTCATTGTCAATGTCTTAAAATAACAGAGAAAGTGATCCTAACTGAAGGGTGGCCTGGGGCTGTCCCCAGATACTTCCCAGCCCAGTATCTGGTAAAGCCAGTAACATTAGCATTTTCCTGAACCCAGCAGCTTCCGATCTGAGGTCAAGGGGCTCAGTCACTTAAAAGTGTGTTCCTACTCCCAAAAGGAATGCAGGGAAAAGTATGGGCTAATGGCATCTTGTTTGAAAATGCAGGGACAATTATCATATAATTACAACTTTTCCTGGTTTGAACACACGTTCTAAATGCTGAGCGTCTTGAAATCTGTAGCTGCTGTCTTTATAGTATGCTCCCCCTTCATACCTCAAACTAGTTTGTCATTTATTTATTTTAAAATAAGATTTGAACAGTACAGATTTCCAGAGATGTCTGGTTTTCTTACAGGAATTCCCCAGATTTTAAGTGTGTGTGTGTGGTGTCCGTCCCTAAGTCAGGTGCCTGAAGGGACCTGAAACCTCTCTGTTTCCTGTGCTACCCTCAGGCTAATGCTGCAGCCTGGCACCGGGGGATCGCCCTGGCTTGGACCCTGTGTGGTCTGGTTCACTGCTGTGGTTCCCATGTTGTAACTTCAGTTCTGCTCTCTCGTCTCTATGCTCAGTTCCAGGTCCGTATTTCAAGCCACCCAATCCTTAGGCATCACACAACTCTCCAGCATCTCCTGTTTTATCTCCTCTTCATCCCCCTGACCTCCTCCTTCAGCTCCACATTTTCACCTAACCTACCTTCCTGCCTCCTGTCACTACCTCGTCAAAGCAACTTCTCGGTCACCAGGAATTTCCTTTTTGCTGAAAAGCCTTAGACACTTCCTGCTATTTCCAAAAATTAAATCCAAATTCTGTAGTCTACCTACCACCCTCCCCTCCACCACCTACGGTAGGCACATCAAACCAAACAGCTGCCTGGACCTGATCTGCTTTTCCCACCCCTTGTGCCTTAATTACGCCTGGCCTTGTCCCTAAGTCACTCCCTCCAGGAAGCCTTTTGCAGAAGTGGCGGTTCCTCGTGTCTGTGTGATGCTGAGTGGCTGCGCTCCTCTCACACCGCTGGGCCCGCGGGCACTTCCTGGCTCTCCTGTCACTTCAGCCAGCGCTGTGGTGCAGGGCACGGGGGGGCACAGCCCCTTCTCCCCAGGGCTCCTGCAGGGCGAGGCCTGGAGCCTTGGGAGTACCAGGGAGATGGTGCCTAATGAATGAACGGCCGGGCATGAAGGCTGCTCACAGCAGCTTCAGGTAAAGCTCTACACTTTATTGTAGCTCATATTTAAGAAAATACGTGGTTTTTTATAATATTTGCTCAGAAAAACTGTATCTTAGATATAACGACTTTGAATGAGCAAATCAAGATTTTTACATCTTGCTTTTTTGCTGCCTTTCTAAGAAATTATAATGCAATCAAACATTAAAGGTACTTCGGAAAAAGTAAAGAATGACTACTGTCAAAGCCAGTACAGAAGTTCAATCAAAAGGCCCATTGCTTTAATCTTCCTTCTGTCATCACATTTTTAGAAAAGCAAATTTGTCTTCTTCAGCCATATTATTTGGAGCCCTTAAACGGTCCCCTGGAGCAGTCAGAAACAAGCAGTGCGAAGGAAAGAGCTGGGACTAGAGACACTGGGCATGAGCCCCACGCCCTTCTTCCTGAGGCATTTCTCGGGGGTCCCTTGGTTCCTCTGGCCTAGGGCTGCTCCTCTGTGTGTATCTCTCAGGCTCAGAGCGGCTGAAAGGGGAAGATGCTAAGAGGGAGAAGAGGATTCATGATCAAACTGGGGGCACATCTCTGCTGGTGTTGTTACAAAAAAGGCTGTCTCAGGAGAGTGAACAGCCAGGCACGGGTGCCCGTGTGAGCAGAGGTACCCGGCTGAGAATTCAAAATTCAAAATTCTTTAGATCAGTGTTTCTCAAAGTGCAGGCTGCAACCTACTAATGGATTATAAAATCAGTGTGAGCAACAGAGCACAGGGAAGAGAGGTCAGAGATACTGCAGGTAGTGAGGGAAACTGTGAAACTTCTGTTTCAGTTACACACGCGGGAATGCTGGGCCACAGTGTAAAGTGTCTTTCTTACAGCAGGAGGTGGCTGCAAAAAAAAGCTTTAAAAACACTCCTTTTGACACTGAAGGTTCTAAAAGAGGCAGCCTCTCTCCTTGGGCTCTGGGACCATTTAGGACAGGAGGGACTCGTGGGACTGGGAGGGGTCAGACTTCCTTCCACCTGACCCCGGGCCTGCCTCTGAACAGCTGCAGCCTGGCGGCCTCTGTGTGAACAGGCAGGTCCTGGCAGGCTTGTCAGCTTTCAAGATGGCCCATGTCGTGGGTGAACAGCTCCAACTGGAGGAAGTTCCTTCAAACATTAGGAGGAAATCTACCCCCAGAGCTCCAGAACCTCACAGCAGGCATCACCCTCTGCATGCGCCGGTCAGCCACTGTGGGATGACCATGGGCACTAAACGGGGCAACGTGGGCAGTAACAGAGCCCAACACAGGAGTACCCTCTTGGTAGGCCTGCAGCAAATAGTAGCTGTTCTCACCTCTGAAAATCCTTCAAATACCTGGAAACACCTCTCATATCACCCCACTCCCCTCATTTCTAAGGTAAGCATTCCTGAGGTATCAAATGATTACATTTCAGACCCTTTTATACTGAAATATGTCGATGTTCCTTTCAAAGAGTCTGAGCAGAACAAGTCAGAAATACTCAGCAGAGAATAACAGACACCCATTCCTCTGGGCTGGCCCCTACATTTCCACCACAAAATCTTCTCTACAAGAAGACCCGTGCAGACAACGCAAGTGCGGCGTCCTGCTGCAGAGCTGGGGCTTCCTGGTCCCTGGCTATGCCAGAGGATCTCACATTTATTCCAGCTACTTCATCAGGTTAACCGCATCTGACTCATTTCCCCCTTAAGGGACTATTCTGCATCTTGAACGCCTGGGCTACACTCCTGCAAATCTCAGAACATGGTTTCTATGCATCAGAATCTGGGAGCTGAGAAAGGGCTGTGAAGGACACCTCGCTGAACCTCCCATTCAACTCAAAATCTCTCCTTCATCATCCGCGAATCTGACAACTTATTCCTCAAATAAAAGCAATGACGAAAATATTTACTTTTGTTATGCTGAGGGGAAAGTAGATTTATATAAATATAAGCTGGTAAATGTTGGGGTTAACAAGGTTTATTTGAGGAATGAAGTAGAGCAGAAAACGTCGGTTAGGAACTGGAGTTCAATAACCTTGCTCACTTAGGAGCTAAGAAATAGACGGGGAGCTAATACATGTAAATATATTTACCTTGCTTTTATTTGCTTCTTTGACTACTAGCCCCTTTATATTGGCAAAGTCTCAAAAGTCAAGAGATTTGTTTGCAGTATTAAAAAAGTTAGAGCAGTTAGTCATGGTCGAGTTCTTAAATGGCATGTCATCACAACAGAAGGGGCGTGGCCCCAGATACGAGGACTTCTGATTGGCTTCTGAATCAAGCCAATGGCATCAAGCCCTGGGGACACGTGCAGCGCGTGGGCGGGAGATGGGCGGGCTTCCAGCCCCAGCAGAGCAGCTGCCCACGAGCCCGCGGAGCCTGGACCTGCTGGCTCCAGGCTGCTTCATCTTGCCCCGGGGTTTCACCAGTGACTAGCCTGGGATAAGGTCTTGCTGACATCGCAACACACGGGCTCAGCGTAACACTGTCAGAAAAGTAAACTGTAATGGTAGGTAGGATGCACAGAGATGGAAATTACTACTGATTTCCAGACAGATCACTGACTTGTGAAAAGATGGAATCTATTTATACAGAAGATTATCTTACAAATGGACGAGGTTATTTAGAAAACCGAAGCAGAGCAATGAAACTGAAAAGGCAATCTCATTCTGACTAATTTTTCAGTAAAGGCAAAAAGGGAAATAAGATAGATTTAAAAGAATTCATTAATGAAGGATAATTATAAATTTATTTGCTGAAATAAAATTTTCGCTGGAATTAAAATCGCATAGGAATTTTTCATCACTTTTGGGAAAGAGATACTGAGTAAGAGTGGCTATTAACTTTCTTTTATCCATATAATTAAAATGCCCTTTAAAAAATTAAGTAATTCAGGTTACAAAAGAAGAATCAACACATAAAAGCACAACAGGAGAGGAAAACACCACGCAAAACTGTACTAAGTTAAGATAACCACCATTAATGTTTCGGTGACCATGTTTTCATGCATCCACATGAGTACACACAGACACACACTCTCATTCTCTCTCAATTTCTCTCTCTAAATGGGATCATGGAAGTTGTCCTTCAGAGTGGTTTTGACTGAATGCACAGAAATAATATCCAAGTAAACAATGGCAGTTCAAACCTTTACAGAGGCTGATTAGAGAAGAGTTGGACTGAGACATGGATCTAAGATCTATGACACAGATTCTGAGTCATGCAGGCACTTACGCACCGAACTCCAATTCATAATGGGTAACAAGCCTGTTGAACGTTGTCTAAAATGTCTGATACATGAACTGAGCACCTGGTAGATTCTGCTGCCACTGGCAGGCAGCAAGGCTGACTAGTAAATGACTTAATAATTCTGTAAAAGTGCCTAGTGAGCAGCTACTTGCTGTGACTAGTTTTCAGTCATTTGTGAAATTTTTAGGAAGTGGGCTGGCTGTAAGCCCCTCATCTAGTCTGATGGATCAGCATGGGAGTAAGCAAAGTGACTGCAGGTGAAACAAATATTTCCCTCTGAATTGTGGTTTGAATCACAGGTAGTCACGAGCTCCTATGAGTCTGTATTCTATTTCATGGGAGAAAATGAAATTCATTTGCCAAATGATAAAGGCAGACGGCCATCTTCACAGAACTTTGAAAGACTCAGAGGAATTGTTTTGCCTAACATTTATTGAGCACGTAATATGTACGAGGCACTGTGCTAAGCACTTTATGTGCTAATTCTCACATCGACCCTGTGATGCACTCCCGCTGTTATTCCTGTTTTATGGACGACTAAAACAAGCTTCAGGTAAATACAGCTGCCCGGTTCTCACAACTAAACACAGAGGAGCGGGGAGTCACATCCAGGCACGTCTGACTCTGCAGCCTGAGCAATTAACACTGTGTCATGTCCAAGTAAAACCTCATCGGGGGGCCCAACAGAAGCAACTAGCTGTCGACCTGCTGGATGAGGCCGAGACTACGCATCTGAAGGCTGAGGAATGTCCACGGACCAAGACATCCTCAATATGTAATACGTCAGGGATGTCAAAGGGTACTTCTTACATAAACATCTAGCCAGCAGATCAGGTTTGAGGTAACAAAATCACGTCACTGGAGTGGAGGTTACTTGCCCGGACTACGAGCATTCAGTTACATCAACTACATGAGCGTGGGTGGTTGTCACTGATCAATTAAAATGCCAGGACATAAGTGAACAGAGAGAGCACATGGATTCCACCGATTTAAGTTCAGATTTGGGCCGTGTCCCAGGGATGCTTTCATCTTGAATCAGCTTTCATGAATAATGGTTGAAAGAAAGGACTGAATAATATCCTACAGTAAATGCCCCAAAATTAAAACAAACAAAACCAAAAAACCTTTTCTATATCATACCCTGTGGAAAGCTACTCTTGGAAAACCACTGAACCAAAATGGACCTTAACAGTCATCCAGCCCAATTTTCCATCCTCTGAAAAATGCCTCACCTACGGCAGCCCCGACAAGCGACACCCAGCTCCCGCCCCCATTCCCAGTCCCGGGCCCTCCCTGCCCCCACAGCAAACCACCTCAGCGGTAAGCAGCCTTGCTAACGGGCACTCTTCCTTTCACTGCAGTGAAATTCGGCCTTCCTGGAACCTACCCTCAGGTCCTCAATTTGCCCTATGGAAATACAGTTTACGCTTATTTCCACCCACCCCGACATTCTTTCTAATATTTGGAAACAGCAGGTCTTCCCGATTGCTTCTTTCTCACAGGTTAAACATCCGCGTTCCTTTGTGCATAGGCCCAGTTGCTAGCATCCACCAAAAGCCACAAGCCTCCAGGTAAGTGTGATGAGCACCCAAGACCGTGGGGCTTCTCCTGCCAGCTGCCCGGAAGGGGCGTTCTCTACCTCCTCTGACCGTACTGGGTCCCCTGGCGTTTCTTCCATTGTTGATTTACTCTAAGCTTGTGGCCAAGGACAGCCCCAAGACCCTTTCTCAACCTAGCGGTTCCTGCTGAGCAAGGTCAACTCCCAACCAGTGTTACGGACTGAAAATACACGTTCGTGAAAGAAGTTATTTTGCTAGGTATGATCGCATCTAGATCAGTGTGAAACTGGTGGAAGTCAATTCTCATGATTTTTATGAATATTACTCTAACATACTTTCTGGGGGGTCATCTGGCACATGCAATCCAAAAAAACAATTTGTTACTTACTCATTAGCATTCAAGCTAGCTGTGGCTCTGATGATCATGTAGCAGAGCGTGAGAGCACTGAGGAGACCAAAGCTGGCAATAATAAACCATTCTTCTGTTGACAAAGGAAAGGGAGGAAGTCACTCTGGGGAGAAGGCTTAAGTCAAATCGATGCCAACATTTCCCTCAAATGCAACGAAGCAGACGTCAACGGAGGTGTAAGCCAAGACTGGCCCAAGGAAGTGAAGCAGGAGGAGGTTTGCCAGAGAGCTACTAAGTGCAGAAGGTTAGTGGAAGTAGAGGTGAAAGCTGCGAGGGAGAAAGGAAAGCACGGCCCAGACATTTCTTCCCGTTGACGTCCTGAGGTTTGTGAGAAGCGTGGCCACCAAAAGTGTGCAGTAAAAAAATATATATAAAATTGCTCATGGACATGAGATTTTTTAAACTGTTAATTTAAATGACAGCAAAATAGACTAGCTATATTTATAGTTATCCTTTACTTCTTCATTTGGTCACTTCTGCATGGCTGTGTCACTCATTCTTAGAGAAAGCCTTTAGGAATATGGAGCAGCGGTTCCCAAAGAGCTTGTGATATTCCAAGCAGTCCGCAGGCCGGCCTTCCGTGGCATTCACATCTACTTTCTCTTCTGTTATGAGTGGGTACTTGTAGTCTTTCTTTAAAAAGGGCCTCTTACTGGTGTCTCCTGCCCAGAAGAGGACTACCTCACCAGCCCACGGCGGGGAAGCAGCACTGGCTGCTCTGGCTTGGTGAAGCAGGGGTAGGAAGGGCAGGTGAGTCACAAGGTCCGTGGCCCATCGAAGAGCTGAAAACCCCCGGTACACAGAACTCTAAGGGTTTCTGTCTCGTTTCTCTCTAGATCCAGGAAATCAGTTCATGTTTTCCCTTAACTTTTCAGTCTGTACTGTCAAGGTAACGGATCAGATACAGTATTTATTGAGAACCTCAAAAATAACCCGAGAGCCAATCTGAGTTCCTAAAAAGTCTTAACTATAAAATATTTCCTAGAGTATACACGAGCTAGGGCTGGTCTGACAAAGTGTCACACAGCGAAATGCCCCACAAACCTGCGCTAATGCAGAGAGAAGACATTCCTACTTGGAACGCCAAATGTCTGTATGTGAAAGCTGTGCGGAACGTGGGTGCTTCTCAGGCTGGTTCCATGAATCCTGCCTCTACGCAACACTGTGCGTGCCTGGGAACTCCCAGAAAAAGGGCATTACACTTCCACTGGACTGTACAGGTGGCGGTCTTCAGAAGAGGAAGAAGAACTGGTCTTCAGGACTCCTGGATGCTGAGTTGTTCTGTGAGCATTTCTCTGTCCACTTTGCTTTATGTCATGAAAATGCATAGCAAACTCTTTCTTTTTAGGTAACAGTGCAGCCGCTGCTTCTTGGAATGCAAATTCCTCATCAGCAGCGTGAACGTATAAGGTTTTTATTTAAGTCAAAATAAACATTCAAGAACCCATGCAGAATCCACCATTTTCACCCACATGTATTTTAAGTTAGGAAAAAAAATGTATACTGGCATCTGAGAAGAAATTAAGAGGTGACTGGTCATTGACATCAAGACCCTTAACACAGCAGTCTTTATTTTTCTCTTCTTAGACTTTTATACGTGATGAGCAGACTAACTTTTAGGACTTCAATTATGTCTGTTTCTGATTGTGAATGTAGCATCCATACCTGCGTGGC